TCATACATTCTAATAATGCATTCTCCTATATCCTCAGCCCCAAGTGGATAGTTTCTATAATGCTTTAAAGTTTTTTAAAGACATTATCCAACAACAAAAAATTATTTTGTAGGAGTCTCATGTTAATTTTGAAGTTTGGTACTAAATGAAGGCCACAATACTATTTATAGAAGAATCACAAAAATTTTAATAAAAAATGAATCTGCTTATGTAGATAAATCTGAAATGCAATTATTTACCAATCATTTGCTGAATTAAGATACCAATTCTTTGAGCAGGGCTGGCAGAGTGGCTCAAGCAGTAGAGCGTCTGCCTAACAAGTGTGAGACCCTGAGACGAAATTTAGCCCAAAAGAAAAACACTGCCAATTCTTTGTGCAAAAAAGGCATATAAAATTATGTTTTCATCTGAGAAACAAAGAAGAAAAGCTTCCAATTAGCTGCTTCAAACCACAAAGAAAAAGAACTTGAGCATGTTACCTCATAAAAATCAATCAAAGGCCAGGTGTGGTGGCATGTGCCTATAATTCCACCACTAAGGAGGCTGAGGCAGGAGGACTGTGAGCTCAAGGCCACCTGGGCTACATAGCAAGATCCTGTCTCAAAAAAACCCAAAAAAACCAATAGGAATATCTTCTATAAGCTAATGAAGTTAACAAAATATGAACCAAGTAGCTTTATTAATACCTCCCAGTAAGGATCATTTGGTATTACATCTATAAAAGTTGCAAAATATACCAAATAAATTCTTCTCATATTAGTGGTCAATGCTTAAATTCAATTTTCATAGCCAAGAGTTATCTGTGAAGACCCTTGCTGCTTTAAACAACCCCATGTCAACAGTGTGGAAGCAGTAACTCCAGAGAATATCATCTTAAGTTAAATAAATTTAAGTATGAGTTGAAAAGGTAAACTATATTCAAGTCTAATATGCCAAATTTAGGTGCTTGTGATAAGCAGCACAGGACATTGTTTAAAATTACCTGTATACTTTGCCAGATAGCTAATCTTTTTGGGTACCTTCTTACATACCTAAATTCATTAACAATCAATTTTCATAAATTACTTTCTTTCTATGACATTATTTTCTGTGCCTATGATAGTCTCAAACACTTTCTTTCCAGGTTTCCTTATCTCATCCTCCAGGAAGAACTACTCTGCTAAAGATCACCTCTCACTGCCTCCAAAGCTATCAAGGCAAAGTGTTAGGAGAGAAGGTTGGTTCCAGTCTGAACTTCCACTCTGTCAGGTATACCCACAACTGTCAAAGTCAGGGCAAAATGTTCATTTTTCTCCATAGATACAAACAAGAGATCTTTAATTAATCCATTTACTTTGGAGCCACTTTCATTAGAAATTTTTACATAAGTAGTCAAATGGCTAGAAAAAATTTATATAATGTGAGGCCATATAAGATGTTCCCAATGATCTAGCTTGAATTTTCAACAGATATTCTTCCAACTGTCCCACAACTAATGTTAAAATACACTAAATGAAAAAGTACTAGAAAACTACACTCTATTTTACAGATGCTCTCAGATCTTACCCATTCTACCCATCACCAATTTTAACTCAAATTGTTCTCTTACCAGTATATGTAGTAGTACTCGTGCATGCTATACAGTTCCAATTCAAAGCCACTTAGGAGATACTGTATCATAATTCGAAGGTTATGGTAAAGGACCCAGGTTCCTAAACAGGCCAAATGCTGCCTTTGAGGTTCCTGTTTCAACAGCATAGTGTGAAGCGCTGCATCAACCTTCTCTGCCTATCAAAATAAAATGTCACAACATTGAGACTTTTTTAGGCAATGAAAGAAATTTAAAATAT